CTTCTTGAAGAGTATATAGAATAGCCAGTAAGAGAAGGCTTTGCTGATCAGATTTTGAAGCACAAAGGGATTTAACATCATGGTCATTTATCCTGTTTATATATATGCAAATTAACAAATGTGTACAAAATGTTCTGTTGCAAAATTGGGTATTACCTCATTATTCTGTCATTATTATACTGATCCCTTGGCTGTTAAAAAAGTGTTGTTTTCCCAGTGTTTCTGGGGCTATTCTTTGTGGTGGGTAGAATTTGGAAAAGCCTTGGGGGCTTATAGCATAGACCCAGAGAGAGATTATCACTGAGAAGGTAACAGACATGACTGAATGAGACAGCAGCACTCTTGATCTAACAGAGGAGTGACTTGAAAAAGGTCATTGCAAGGATCAGTGGTAGAGCCAGAAAACAGATCCCAATCTTCAAGGCCTGAAATAATTAAAGCTGCATATAAATTAGCCTTGCCTAGTAGTAACTGTAGTGACAAGCTGCCTTTCCTCCACCACTGCACAAACGAAGGGAAACGTAGGAATGCAGACTGAAAACATGGTTAGGGACTTAGCTAACCAGTTTGTGGAAATTCCTGAGAGTTTGTGGAAGAGTGAGGCTGAATGAATCTCTGCTTTCAGGTTTGAATCAGTGGTCAGAACCCTCCAACCTTGTTTCTGAATTCTGCTCCTTTTTTGAGATACATTCCCCAGGTGTCATTTCCAAACAGCTAGAATAAATTAACTGGGGGACGAGCCAAAGACTGAAACTGCTGTGAGAAAAGCCCTTTTCCTTTTTAGTCTTTATCACTGAATGTTACATGATACATAACAAGAATATAATGTCCTCCATCACACAGTCGTGATCCGACCCATAGTCCCATATAAAAGGGATTGGCATTAAATTTAGACAGTAAGTGAGCTTGTCATGGCCAGCCAGTGCTGTAGCCAGGCACAGGCTGAGGGGAATGGCTGGGGGTCTGCAGTGCTCTTGGCAATGTGATTTCGGTAGAGCTGTGGTACTGTGAGCAGCGAGTGGGATCAGCCACAGGAGAGGAAACAGGCTCAGTGCAGATGTGAGCCAGCCCTTCACCTCCCAAGCGTTTGCAATGTGTGTGTTCATCAGCAGGTGTCAGCACGCTATCGGCCGCAAAAGTGTCACACCCTGGCTGTGAAATCATTTTGAGCCTGCACGAGAGGTTGTTTTGCTGTGGGCTCCGGGGGTATTTGCTGAATAGGGAACATTCCTGGATGGATATTCCTTTCTTTCTCTTTTAACTAGCTTATCAAAGAAGCTGCCTTTCTACTTGCTACGGAAACATTGCCCTCAAAATGTCTCCTTGGGATTTAATGATATGCTTGAGACTTCTATCAAGCGTTTGGTTGCTCCAGACAAAACAGTAGTTTTTAGGTAGAATGTGGTTCAAAGCCTCAAAGCCTGTGATAATTAATTCTCCTTGTTGTGTGGTGTTGGCATGCTGTGTGCTAGCTATTACAATATTAACAGTGTGAGCACAGTGGCAGTGAGTGAAAAGATGCATCTGATGTCTCACTGTGAGCTCTCTATTACCAGGGAGCTCCCTGTTGTTACAGCAAAAGTGATAGGGAGGAGAATGAGTTACAGAGGACCAGGCAGAAATGTTGTCCAAAAGATGCTCTGAAGACTGATTCCTACCATGGCTTTAAATGGTCCTGGAGGATAATGCATGGATTAACACTGAGTTACCTCTTCCTTAAGTGGGAGACAGCTGAAGATGGCTTGTGGATAGTGGACATATTTAGATTTTGTGAATATCCAAGCCATTTCACAGATGGAGCACTAGCATAAGGCACTTTATATTCGAGGCTGTGCTTGGTTTTGCTAGAAGGGCTATGCTTTCAAAGTCCAGTTAGTCAGAGACCTCAAGGGCACAAACTCCCAAAGTGAGCAGGTGGAGACAAGGAAACAAAGGGATTGAGATCAAAGTTAAGAACAAAGAGAGTGATTCTTGGATAACTGGGTGGTTTTGTTTGTGTATCTCATTTGGTAGACTGAAAGAAAAATTTCCTTACATGTGGTTTTTACAATTTTATTCAATGCCAAATTAAGTAAATACCAAAATTGTGCCAGAAAATACCTCTTCATTATTAGAACAGGTTTAATATCTAATGGAAAAAAAAAGATGCAAGGTAAAGTTCCCAAACCTTCTGCTTTCTGGAAAGAGGCAACTTTTTTATCATCTATATTTCAGTTAAATAAAATGCAACTTGAAAATTGCCACCTGTTGTCATTAGCAGTATTTGCTACTTATTTTCTGCATTCATTCAAATCCAACTTTTAGGGCCTGGCACTTCCAAAATTTCTTTCAGTCCTGCTTGTTTGCCAAATATTGACTCCTTTAGGCTCAAACTGCTTTCAGCATTGATTTTTGTGGGTGGTGAATCTCAGCCCAGATTTCAATGGGTTTGTACACTATGGCCACTGACCACACATGGTTTTAAAAATAACAGCAACAACAAAAGGTATGACAATGACATCTCATCATAGCGAAATAACATGTGGGAGTCTTGTATGACTGTCCTTGTATCAGGCTGTATGCATTAAAGGAAACATTTCTAAAAGTGTTATATGGAAGTGTCTTTAGAAGCTTGAATTTAGCATTTCATTATAGGCCAGCATCTTTCTATGTCATTACTTGTACCTTGCATATTAGTTTTGCAACATTTTAATTTACACTGGGGAAAGTTTACTTGGTTGTGGTATCAATACACATAGAGTCTTGATACAGGATAGCACAATCCTTTTATTTGTAGGTGTTTTCAGTACAGGTGGTAATACTTTGCCATGCCTTGGTATTTAAGGACTGTTGTCAACAAATTATTTTAAGAGTAGGAATTCTGAGAATTTTGATCAAAATATTCAGTCCTGGATTGGTTCCTTTTTTTTGTTTGTCCTAGAAGCTGACTGTTTTCACTTATAAAAACAAATCTAAATGCCATGGAAACTGTGAGAAAGAATTGACCAATTTATTCTTTCCTTTCCAGTATGAATTGAGCACTGCTTTGAATTGAGCACTACTGAATGACTTTTACCTCTCTGCTCTCTAGCTGGCACTGGTCTCTTTACTCAGAGAGCAAATTTACTCATGTTTATTTTGAATAATGGAGCTGGACTATGACCAGCTTGAAATTCTAAATGCTGGAGGTTAAAAAGGAATCAGTTACTCTAATCATAAAACAGTATGATCATGAAAATTATAATGCCTCTAATCATAAAACAGTAAAGGATTAAGTGCCAATACCTTCTTACCAGTCCACAAAACACCCCTGTCCTTAAAGCTTGCTCCTGTTCTCTTTCTGAACGTTGTTCACAGGGAGTTCAGTGCTTTTTCTAAACATTTATTTGCATCTTTTTGGTAAAAGACAATGTTTTGGTTAACTTTTGGACACAGATTTTGTTCTTTCTTCTCTTATTTATCTATGTTCCGCTTTCATAATACATTAACATTTACATTATCTGCAGCATTTTAGTAATACTACAGTAAACCCATTTGCCACAGGAAGAAGTGCTTGCTGAGCTCTTCAAAGGTGTAATGATGCATGTGACGCTTGGTAGAGTTTTCCAGTTCTCCAAAATCATGTTGTATTTGTGATGTTTCATTGTTTGAGGTTTCACAAAGGACTAACCGTCTGCTTGCCTGATACATTTGCAATGATTCCTGCTAGCACTTCATGGTCAGATCTCTTCAGAAAAACCAGATGCTGAAGTGCTGGTAATTTCAAGAGCATCAAAAACTCATCCCCTGCTTCTCAAATGCATTGGTTTCTACCACTGATAGCAAAAGTCCCAAAGAAGCACTCTATCTTCTTACATTTTCTGTAGCCTCCTTTTCAAGGCTGACAACCTGAAAGCAGGTTTGGAGTTTGATTTTAATATAGAGTGTGCATGTCATTCAACTTCAAGATCTCAACCTAGTCACGTCTGCTTGTTGGGATTTTTTAAGCCTCATGAGTAGTGGCCATTTTCTGAATTTCAAAGTTCTATTATCATACCTGCCATGGCTCCTAGATTGAAATGGTCCCCTCGCTCCTCTTGGGTGTAAGTAGAAAGTCAGACTGCCTGAAAGCTCCAGACATTGCTGCCTCTGAAGGAAGGAGATTCAGTGAGACATCAAAGAGAAGACAGCTGCACAAACATTTGCACCTGGACTGACACAGTCACAGATTATCTCATATGGGGGTGTCTACAGCAGCAGGATCTTTATAATAAACTTGTTAAGTTTTTATTTTAGTGTTCATATTAAAGCACATGTCTGTGTAAATCTGTCCATACTCAGATATATACAACAGATAAAATAGGCATGCAATCACAGACAATGCACTGGAGTCACCCTCTGCTTGTGTGCTTGCAGCTGGAACCAAGAGCTGTCAGGAATGAAAGTTGAAGGGGCCAGGAGAAAACTTTATTCAGCTCCTTTTGCAAAGTTTAAAATGTTTCTGGAGGCAGTGGAAAAGACAAGCCATCAGCCTTGTAACATCCTCAGTTGGGTAGCAGAGGGGACTGACAAGATTGCTTGCAAATAAGGAACTGGCAGCAGCAGCATGTCTGAAAGCAGAAGATAAAATGGCATAGAGCTGTGGGAGGGAAGTGAAGAGGTTCCCAGATGCATTAAAATGACACAAATGTACAGGGATGGTGACTTTGGCAGGGGTGTGTGTAAAGGGTTGAAAGAAGTGGTTTCAGAGGACAATTCACATTGTCTGCCTTGACTCAGACTGCATTCATATTTCCTGGTATCTCTTTATGCCCAGTAGATATCAAAAAAGCCATTGCAGTCACTTACTGACCTGAGACAGCTGGAGTTATGTGGACTCAACCCTGTCCTTAGAACATATGTAAAAGTGCACAATGATACATGGGGACTCACAGTTTTGGCTACAGCAACTGGCATGTTAATCTATGGACATTAAACTTCATTTAATAAGCTGTTATTTTTAGTCTGACACCAATTTTTCTCCTTCATTTTTTAATTTGCAGGCACTGCAGTGGAGCATGAATCAATTCAAAGCACAAAAAGAGTGAAGGAAGAGTGGAAGAAATATCTAGAATAATTTCTCCCATATAAAGTTGTTCACTGGATTGAGTAAAGACAAATAGTTCTTGTAAAAAGGACAAGAAGGCTTTTGGAGTATTACAGTGGTATTATATTAAGTAACATGCTAGGAAAATGTGTGATTTCACTTCTATTTTCATACAATTAGTTTGCTACCCTCCTTTAGTGTGTCCCCCATTGCCCAAAACCAGGCTGAAAACCTCACCCAGTTTTCAGCTATGAACTCCTGAAGGAGGAAAAGGTGAATTTGGTGACTTTGTGCTTTGAGCTCCTTCAGTAAGTGGCCTTCAACTGTTAGCCAATACTCTCAAAGTTGTCTCTAGGCAGTGATTCCTCCATGTGCATAATGATAGCAGATTATTTCCCTTTAGGTCAGTAGACTCCCATAAAGACAGAGACATTTTGGTGGTACTGAGTGTATGCCATGTGATTTGTTTTGCTTTTTGTGTGAAGGCTTTGCTATCTTTGGGCTTTCAAAGCTGACAATGAGAGCTGACAGTATGCTGCTGTTTTGGAATGCACCATTAAATAAATAAAGAAATCTTAGTCTGCTCCCATAGTTAAAAACACTATGGCTTTCTCTCTCTACCTCCACCTTTTCACAGAATATCTCACTTTTTTATTCCTTATCACTTCTCGGCATATCCTAGAGCTCATGTATGATTTTGTGTTTTCAGAAGCATTTTAAATGCCTCCAAAATCATTAACTACAGTGAGCTGAGCCTTGAAGAATAATTTCACTCAGAAACTCCCCATAATCTTTCCTATTAGGGAATAGGGATTCCACTTCAATGGAGAGAAAGCCATGTTTCTAGGTGGTGCCAGTGTGAAATTATTATCAAAAAAACCTCCTAGTCCATTGTTTTCCCAATGGAAATACTACCCACCTGTCTGGTTCTGGCTGGTCAATCTTGTTTTATCTCTTGTAAGAAAAAAGGTGTTTCGTTCAGATGGAAAATCACTCCTGATACCAAACACTGCTTTGGAATTGAGGAGGTAGATCCAGAGCTTTTTATTTCATCTATAAATTCTCTTGCTTATGCTGCATGTTAGTTTCTTCCATGGCATGGGTGGTAGAGGATTTTGCATCACCTAACACAAAAAACATCGTCTTAGCCTTGCTCTAGTATACATTGAAAGTTTGACCACATTTTAAAAATTCTGGTAATCTGGAACCCAATGGAATTTAGAATATTTGATGAAAACTACTCCTGGGATTTCTTTGTGGATGGACCTTTCATCACTACCCCTGCAAGATAAGCTCTGGGGGCAATTATCTGTACTCATGGGATGTCCCTCTCCCAAACCTGCTGACTGTCCCAGAGTTATGCTGTGTGTTTGTGAAGGCTTTCCCCTGCAGATGGGCACAGACTGACAGACAGTGCCCATGGCAGGTGAGATGCAGTCCTGTAGTAGGTGACAACCCACGTTTGAAATTGCCTGAAGACAGGTGGATTATTTTGACTTTCTCAGGGAAATTATACTAAATTTCAAGTGTCCTCAGGCTGCCTGGACCTGGCAGACCTTCAGGTTCACTGTTAACATTGGACACAGACTTTGCCTTCATAATTTCTTTTTACAGCTGATGTCTCTAACTGCAATAAGCTATTATCTCCTCTCACATTGGCTATATTTGAAGGAAAATATCTTTTACCGAGTTTTTATATTTTCCTATCTGCAACTACATGGTGTACATTTGTAGAGCAAAAGACATTAAATGAGCAGATGTCATGAGTCATAACACAGTTAGTCCATCACAATACTTTTTTCTCTAAAATTATTTGGGAATGAGAAAAATACTATTTTTACACTCTCCTTGCAAAAAAATTGATGCGGTGTAACTCAATGATTTTTTTGCCATGCATCAGTAGGTTGGAAAGCACAAAATATTTACTTTCAATTCGACCCTGTTATTACAGTATTGAGCAAATTGGAGAAATGTGCAAATGAAATTATCTGGCTCCTTCATGCTTTCTTGTTTATAGTAGACAAGGTTATTGCTTCACAGATTTCTGCTGACTAAAATGCCAAAGCTGTCATGATATTTCCAGTAAAAATTATTATGTAAAGATTAAAAGACTCCTGAGATAAAAATACAGAGGGGAAAAACAGTAAAAGCTGAAAGGGAAAAGAACCAGAAGGTGATAGCCGATAGAAATGAAGAGGAGAAAGGAGATTCCTAAGGAGTTCCATCTCAGGCATAACTTCACACCAAATGATTCCCATGTTGCCTGCAGGGATTTTGCAGCCGCCAGAACATCCAAGGAGGAGCTGCTCTTGCCATCGAGCAGGCAGGACAGGCTCTGAGTCCTGGCTGTGAGAGGCAAGGAGGAAGAGTTGTTTTGTACTGCAGAGCAAAGTCTGTCCCTGGACTCTTCCTACAGCCTTCTTGGCATAAGTGGGTAAAATGCAGCCTTGTGAGTGAGGAACTGCACAAGCAATAGGAGACTGATAGTTCAATAAAAAGCTCTCTTTGCGTATTGAGCACTGTGTAATGTTTCATCTTGCTCAGCAATAAGACATTTGATCTAGGTAGGAGGTGCCTGTGCCTTCAGTTTCTTGTCACAGTAACTTGACTATGAAGCTTCCATTTAAAAGAACAATCCGTCTTGGTTTAATATGCATCTGCAGAAAGTTTCTAGATAAATTAGCAATAAAAATACAATATAATTATAAGCAAACACACACAAATTCATCTCTAAATCAGTCCACATTTAGTTGCAGAAAAAGGTGAGGAGTACTTGGTGAAAGTTAAAGTATGTCTTCTGAAGGTGTTTGCAGCTTCAGATGGACAATGTCAATTTATGTGGATTTTAATGATACTTAAACATTTTTGAAAATCCTAGCTGCAGGCCTTTGCCTGGAGTGAGTGATAACATAAAAAAGCAAATAGGCATCTTCCACTCTTGTGTTTCAGCAGTTCAACTTCTCCTTTGAAACCATTATAATTTTGGCTAACTGTAGTGAGTACATCGAGGAAAATTCAACTTGAAACAAAGGCCCTGACTTCCACTAACACTGTATTACAGATCTTCTCGTCATTTCCCTACCTGGTCTTGCACAAAAATATGACATATACAACATATTCCTTCTTTCTGGCAGCCTTAGGAAGGTTTCAGCAGCCATCTACAGTTCTAAGTATACTTTTGTATAGTATCTTGCTGATACTTTTTGTATCAGCAAGAAAATAGAAGAGACACTTAGAAGCAGCTTTGTTCATCTGGGCTGCTGTCAATAAATAATATCTCTTTGTTGCTGGTAATAGCATCACTTGTAAAGGAACATTACCATGTCATTTGTCTTGCTGTTTTTGTTTCAGAGTCAGCGGCTGGAAAGCAAAGTAACTGAACAAATGTTCCCTAATCTTTTCCTATTTTGGTGTTTCTGATTTTTTGTATGTGTATAAGGTGATCAAAGCACAACCTGAATTAGGATCTTTTACTGTCCAGAACCTTTCATTGACAAACAAACCAGTTCTTTACTTAGAAGAGTGAGATGCAACAATCTTTATCAAAAGTGAGAAACTGAAATTGCCTTATATCAAGTCTGATTTGAAAATTTCAGTTGTCTTTGTACACAATCAATTCGGATGCAAAAATGTATCATCTAAGAGTTGGTTAGAGCATGATGCTAATAATACTAAGGTCACAAGTTCCATCCCAGTATGGGCCATTCACTTAAGAGCTGGACTTGATGATTTTTGTGGGTCCCTTCCAATTTTGAATATTATATGAAATTCCTTAATTCTATGATGGGAATTCACAGGCACAAATCAGCCTAACTGTATCAGCAGCTGCAGCAGCAGCAGCAGCAGCAGCAACAACAGCAGCAGCAGCTCCCTTTTCCTGTATTGCTCACAACATTACACTCCTTGCCAATTACTCTTATCTGCCCTATTGCTACATGGTGGGAGGTAGAGCATTGAAAATATATATCCACAGGGAAATAAAAGAAAGCAGAATTTCTCTAAAGATTTCTCAGTAAGTCTGAATCCAATTTAGCTTGCTGGGCATGCTGCAGATGGAGTATGTGATTTGCAAATCTCTCAAGCAGGAGCCTATTTGTTACTTTATTTGACTATTTTACCTGCAATTGCGTTCACAAACTTGTCTGTCTCTTGTAAATGGGGCCTATTTATCAACTCAGGTCTTCCCTGGTGCTTTGGTGCACTTTTATTACCTGCTTTGCACTGCTCTTTGGAGCCTTGCCTGCAGCGCCATCATATGCATATGCATCCCTTCCTCACTTGGAGCTGAACATGAGATGCTCCACTACATCTGAAAGCAGGTATTGCCTGTGAGACTTTGCATAGTTTTCAGTTTCACTAAATTACCCTGTGATGTGATTTGGTAAACTCACTGCAAATACAAGATGTGTGGCTTTAGGGCTCAGCAGGGAGTTCTTTCCCTACTGTGTTTTCTGCTTAGCTGTGATCTGACAGCAAATGTAATTCTGTTGCTTTTATGGGCTTGTATGGGCTATTATTTCAAAACATTGTAGGTCACAGAGATGATCTACTCCTCAAATTGGGTGGATGGTTTTAGAAAAGCCTCTCTGAACTTTAGCCTTTCATACCCCTATGGGCAGCAGTCAGGTGTGAAACATTGCTCTGTATTTACTTGTACTGCTGTCAACAAAGAGGAATTACCAGCAGGTGACCTTGCTCTTCACAAGAGATCATGACATTTCAGCATTTCTATGTACTGATGCTGATTAAAGGTAGGATAGGCGCTCCCAGAAAGAGCCTGAGGAGGATGTGCTTGTCTGCTGCTGGAATTACCGCTCCTGGAGCTGTCTCGAAAGGTACCATAAAAATTCCTCAGCAAGCAGGGATGGAAGGTAGATGAGCTGATGTTACTGAGCAGTGTAGATTTTCACAGAGATGCTCTCAGCAGAAGCAGCAGATCCTGGCATGGCCTTGGAGGGTAACTCTTGTGTGAGGGCTGGAAAAGATGTCCCCAGAAGTGGCTCTGCTCTGTGTATGTCCATGGGACAGAACTCAGTGCTCGGCATGGATCTTAGGATCTTGGCACTCAACTTAGGGTAAAATAAGAGCCAATGTTTAAGGATGGTTCAAAAAGCTGCCAGACACGGTCCTTTTTAATAAAAAGAAAAAATTGATCTTACCTCTTAAACAAATTACTGACACCATCACCTGCTGGGGACATGCAGAATTATTCCTGCCCAATTGCTCTGCTGCCCAGAGAGAGCACAACAGTGTTCCCAGCTCTCCTTATGTTGTCATGAAGCTTGACCAGCACGCAGCATCTCACCCAAGGTCTCAGTTCACCCAGTCTTATGCTTATGGGGTCAAATTTTGGTCACACAATTAACTTCTCCAGCTCCAAGTTATGATTGAGAGGAGTTAAGTGATGTGCAGTAGATTGCAGAGAACGGCTTACTAATGTGCTGTGAAGGCAAAGAGAGAGAAAAATAATCAAACATTCTTTACTTTGAATTTTTTTTAATGATTGCATCTGTTTTTGAGGGGTTTGGATCATGTCTTGGAGCTGGAAATCATCTCTGGA